CAGTTGCTAGATTGCTACACTAGTCTTGCCAAATCTCAAAATATAAAAGGCAACCCTAGTATAAGCAGCGCATCCCAAGAACGGCATTGATCAACGCCAACAACTTTATCCTTCGTCTTCAGACTCAGGATCAAATAGTCTTCGATCTGTTCATTCTATCAAAGTTATAATGTCAGTCGGAGCACAGCACTTTGCTAAGATGGTCACATTCGAGTAGTTCTGAGATTGGATTTTCAAGGAAACACCATGAGAGGCACAGTTCACGATAAAAATGGTCTCTGGGATTCCCCCACAAGATGAAACCATATCTGGCACTATGAGAACGGAGAACGGCCTAGTTAGGTAGTAATAAAGGCTCAAGGATTGACCCGTGTGCATTCTCGGACGATTTTACCCGGCATTGTAAGGCTGCATCGATCACAAGGGTATCCATGTAGGACGATCAAGTAAATTGCCATGACCCATAGCGACGATGAAACACAGTTCTGTACAGTTCTGGTTTGATGTAGTCAGTTCTTTGCGAAATTGCAATAGCTGAAATCTCGTCCGAATACCCCTTTCATGTTATTCCCGTCATGGCAATCTCGTCCAACCTCTAGTTTCCCTACATTTGAGGAGCCATATTTTTCTTGAAATTGGCAAATTCTCTCGCTTTCTTCACTACCCATGAACTATTTCCAATCTTCACTCCCGTTATTTGAATAAAAATAGGAACCTCAAAATAATCGTGGACTGTGGCTTTAAAGATATCTGAAGACGAAAAGGTTGTGTGTTTTCTTAGTCAACTTCTGAGCACAGTTCGTGAAAGGCAGCAATCTAACGACAAATCTGTTTTCTCGAGTCTAACTGGAGTCTTTAGCTTCTTTAGCGTTGAGAAGAAACTCCTGTCATAGTAAGAGTACAGCTTCAAGTGGTTAAGTATCAATTCTTCCGGTACACTGTAGACAGGTAGTGGAGGGAAGTGTAAAGGAAGCTCAAAGACATTTGAGGATATGAGTCGCTTCCAACCGTAAAGTACTTGTTTGGCCTTTCCGTTTCCGAGTTTCCGAGTACTTCCCTTAATGGCATACACCTCAAGTCCCCTACGTACTCAGAATTCCCATAGTGTTTCCCATGTCCAGTATTCTTGGACTTGGCCTTGTTGTCCTGTATTTGGCAACTTTGTCATGAGCTCAGCGATCATCAATCATGGACCATTTTCTCTCCGTCTTATTCAATCGTACCAGAATTTGAGCCTGTAAACAGAAAAGGCGTCAAGCTTTTGTCATCTAAAGATCAATGAAGGTTTGTAATTCATTGATCATGAGATCCTAGAAGCTCTAGCCTTCTAAGGTTGACACATCTGAAATCTTTGATTTCTCTCTTTCACGCTTAGATTTAAATTTTTTTCGGATAATTTGATTCATGCCTTAATTATCTGGATGGGTTATTTACTGAGTTAGTTGAAGCCTTCTATTTATGCAGTGGACATGCATAATGGGAAATTATACTTTGTGGATTGACAAACGTCGCTGTTTTCTATAATGCAGTGGCTTTTTTAGACGTCTCAGATTTTTCCTGATAATCCGTAAAGGGGCAAGCACAATTCAAAAGGACGAAGTAAATTATACGTAAGAACCATAAAATTCGAAACCTGGCAGCAAAAGAAAGATTATTTAACATAGGAACAGTTTGAGCATAAATAATTGATAGTTTCCAGCTGATTTTGAGCAATATATGTATATTCGCAGGGCCTAGGTCAACATTGATTAACTTATTTATCCAAATCAAGAGAAAATCATTAAACCAAAAAAGTTCGCTCTTAAAAACGAATGACCAGAAAAAGTTCTGAAGGCTTTCTCAGACCCCTCGAATCTTCAACCATCTCTCATTTCGCCTGGACTTGCGGGTGATGAATAGTTGGCGGGTGGGAAAAAATACTAAAATTTTTTATTTTTCCTTTCTGCCCTCGTCAAGTTAATCAAACTAAAGTAAGGACAAAAATATGAACATCTATTTCCGTAAACACTTACCACAGTATTGTTTATAAGCGACATTATTCAAGACTTATTCTACGGTATTTCTACTCAAACTCCCACGGCAAGCGGCAATAATATTGGTCTTGGGAACGGTCCCATAATGTTTTCGGGAATTCTGTTTTATTCTGTCAACCACCCCCTCACCGTAGTGACGATGTCCTAGCTTTTTGACTCAAGAATTGAAAAAAAGTAACAGGGAGAGTATTTCGCTGGCACAACTTCCCCAGTAAAGGTCGAGGAAGAGTTAGAGGGCTTCTATCAAACGTGGTGACAGTATTTCTACTCATACACCTACAGCAAGCGGCAATTTTTTTGCAGTAATTGCAGTAATCATTATACAGTAGTAATTGAAATCTTCCCTCTCTCAACCTGGGATTAGAACAACCCGCGTACCTACCGAACATATGGCTCAATGCCATTCTGATTTGAACGAAGAAACTGTGGGGTGTTGATCATGGAGATAATTTATAGGAATTATAATATGCATCGTTGAACTTATCATCTTATTCAGATGGATTACGTCAGATTGATCACGATTATCTTTCATACGATCTGTGATTCCCTTGGAATGTTTTTCAACATGGCTCTACTTTATCTCGTACTATTTCGAACTCCATCCAGTATGGCAATATATTCTATATTGATAGGAAATGCAGCTCTTACGGATTTTGTAGCATGTCTTGCTGCTGTTCTCATTCAGCAAAGGTAAAATTTCAAGTATTTCTATTTATTATCATCCATAATCACTCGTCTGTTTCAGAATAGTTCCCTTAAAAACGAGTGTCGTATACTTCTCACATGGGCCATGTCAAGCAATAGGAGCCGAGTTTTGCTACCTTATGTATGTTCCCAATCTTTTTTCTTCTGGTGTGTCACTGAAGAGTTATAGAATAATTTGAATGTGCTGAAAAAATGGTGCCGTATAAACCGACACAGCTTCCACTTCCACGCTATTTTGCCTCTTTTCAGATCACTCTTGGGTTTTCCAACTTTTTAAATCACATTTGGAGCTAATCTATACTGTTAGGATAATCTCAACGTGAAAAAATGGTCGCCTGCAGTCGACTTTGATCCCGCTAGACCCAATTCCTTATGAACATCTACCTTGAATGATGAACGGGCAATTCGATGAGCAGAAATTCGGGAACATGAATAATACCTAGCAAATTTGTGTCATTAAGCCTCATTATGAAATTCATTCAAGGTTCTAACCAAAAATATCCCGGAACTTGTATGATAAACTAATTAATGAGTTCATGGTCTATACGCGATAAACGGAGCGCAAACTTCTCTCTAAATATCAAAATTTGTCGTTAAATGATCATAACATATATTTCAGAACAACAGCCTCATTAATAGGTTGATGCGAAAGTCTTGAAACATTTGGATGCACATAATATCATTGAAGCTTCCCCTTATTAAAAGACACAATCCCCATTACTATCAAAGACATTCAACCAAGAATGATGCGAGCCCTTATTCCACCCCACTGAAGAGAGGAGTGTGAATCGAAGAAGTCAAGACCAGCGCTTTTGAGGTCTCAGGATGCGGTGATCCTTTTGTTTGCTGTGGCTGTGTGGCTGTGAAGTGGCTAAAAAGATGGTAGGCAGAAGGGGCGAGGCTAGAGGTACAGGAACTGTGGTAAATGGTATTCCAGCATAGTTGCTGTAACCTGGACTGCTTTGCCTATGCTACGTGAAGTCGACCATTATGAGGCAGAAGGTGGGTTCTCGCTTGCTTTTCTTTCATGGAATGAACGAGTCTCTGGATCTGACTGCTGTAAATGGTAGCCGTGACTGTTTGGTCTTGGGTGAACAATTAGCGGTACGGTATTCATTCGTTTTTTCGAAGCGTGAGAACAGCACAGCCAATACTCCAGATGCTGTTTCGGCTCAGGCTCTCGGTTTTGAGTGGAACCTCCATGACAGCAGCCATGAGTAGATGACACAGACACAAGTGCATTGGCGAATTTTTCGAGAGACGTTGCTCCGATCGCACTCCAGAAAATTTGTCGTTCCCTTGCTAGTAGCCTTCAGTTTCATTTACACTTCGCCGAGTACATAGTTAGTTGGTTATCATCAACAGCGGCTCGTCGTCCCGATGAGCGTTGCATTCCCAGTATGAAAGCGATCAAATAATTTACTGAAATGGTCGTACGACTGGCGAAGTTCTCTCTGATTTCCGAGTAACGAGCGTTGGAGTGGCGGCATCTTTGTGAAAGCCGATTGCTCGTGGTTTATACCCATTAATTAAAAATTGTTAGAGGTGCTCGAAGGCTCATTTTGACTGATACTTACTATGAGATTGGTGTGAAACGTGGTAGTTATGACGGGGTAGACAAAGGTTCGGCAATAGTTGTGATTTCATTTGTGTCTATAGAGATTCACATCAACATAATAAATAGCTGTAGTGTATCTGCTGAATAGTGGTAGTCTCAAACCACACAGCCCTATGTGATCATTCTTGATTAATTGTCTCGCGGCGAGTAATGTTTTAGTTAGCTGTCTCGCCGCGCGGCAAGCTGTTTGGAATGATCGTTCGTCACTGATAACTACTCTACTATTTTCAGGTATAGCGTCGCACTGTCCTGCTACGCTCATGCTCTCTATTCCTTGCTATTCTCGTTTTACTTCAGATATTATATACTTAAAAAACAACAGCCATCACCCCGTTTGCTAAAATGCATTGTAGCTATCATTTCCTTACCATCATGTTTCCAACTGGTGAGGTTTCCGAAACATTAGCCTTAAAAATTCAAGTATCTCTAAGTTTAGATCATAATGTGCTTCGCAAACCAACCTACAACGACACTGATTGCGATTTTGGAGCAAGAGTTGCCGTATTATGAGATTGAGAACGAGACAATTAGCGGACATGCTAACGTTTTTCAATGGGAAACATTCACAGTGATCCTACACGTGACACTACCTATCGTACCAGTTTATGCCTGTATTCTTATACTGAGAAAACGAATCATTATTATGCTCTCGACACGATGTCTGTCAGAGAATACGAAAATATTGCACAAACAGCTTCTGAAGGTTCATAATTTGAGAAATTTCCTTTCACTTTCCTCATTACACCCTGAGCAAAATTTTTTCTGGTTCATTGCATATACGTACCACTCAAAGTTTGTAACCGAGTAGAGAATCTCTAATATAATAAGAGTACACATTCAGCAAAAACGTTTCTGGTTCGTTGTATGTACGTACCACTGAAAGGTTGTAAACTAGTAGAGAAGCTGTAGTATAATAAGAAAAGTGGCGAAGTGTTCTACCAGCTATTAGGTTTAGTAAGAAGTTTTGACCGATTTTTCATCTTTTTTTAGATTCTTTTGTGGAGTCGCTCGGAAAGGTTTTGTAATAGATTGTGGTAGACGAGGATACATAAGCATGCAGTTGTAAGTGTTTCACAGTTATGACTTCAACCTTCTACTGTCCACCGAGGCTATCTGAGAGCTATCGTCTATTACGAATTCCTCTAAGGACATAATCCATCGACAACTGTCGCAAAGAATTGTGCACATTCAGCAGAGATATCGTGTCTCAAGCCTCGGGTGCTTCCTGACGAGTCATCTTCAAGACAGCAGAAAAGTGGACTACATCCGAAGAAGGTTTTGCTTTGTGGCTGGTGGGTCTCTAAGGGGACGCTTGACTTTGGATGACTTCTTGAGAGCTCCACCGTGACCGACGAGGTTTATTCTTCTCAGCTACAGAGTTTGGCCTAAGTTATTCGAAGGAAGCGACTGCAGCGTGGAAATGTTTGTCTTCTTCACGACAGCACCCGACCGCATGTTGCGGAATTGTCTCATCAGTAAATTGCAGGACGTGGATGGAAAGTGCTGTCTCATTCTCCTTATTAGTCAGGACGGGGACTTACTCCGTCCAATTACCATTTGCTTCTTGCTCTGGAAATTCAGCTTCGCGACAGTAAATTTGATGATTGCTCGGAACTCAAAACCAAGGATTCTACCCTTTTCGAATCGCGGCCGCTGCCGTTCTGGGCTTCAGGGACCGAAAAACTGCCGGATGGTTGGGCATATGTTAGAGACTACGATGGAGACTATATTACTGATCGAAATCCTTTCCAATGGGAATAGGAGTTTTTGGGATGATCAAAACTTTTCACTCAACCTAATACTTATGATTTTATCTTGTCGGTATTCGGAGACGAAAGGAATTTGAAGTAAGAGTTGTTAAATATCGTTCTTGGTAGTCATTGATATATAGGCCTTTTTTCATCTTCTTTGCAATTACTTTCTTTTAAGGCACTCACCTGTCAGGCAATGCTACCAGGCCTGTTCTTCTTCGGCGCTCTAAGCTACATATGCGGTCAGATTGGTTTTTATCGTCATCCGCTTTTGGAGTCATTCACGCTCATGAGTATCGGCTTGTTTCCTATGCTGAGTCCACTGAGTAGTATGTACTTCATAGGCCCCTACAGAAAGATCGTATCCACATTTTTGTTGAGGTTGTTCCAGAAAAGAACGTCACCAATAGCAGGGGATGACAGTACCAAGTCTCCGAGTAATGCTATTATTAGAATTAGTAGTTAAGTAACCTAATTTTATTCTGTAGCATTCTCATTGTCTTCGTGTCTCCTTGTCATTTCAATCTAGTCCTTATCATTTCTCACCAACTTTCAGCCTCACGTACTTGGTAGCTACATTTATCAGAATGTTACTGCTCTATTAGACGTGAAGACGAAATTTGACAGGAAGCGGTTATGAAAATCACTCTGTCAACAAATACATTACTCCCCATTGAACCACATGGGACACTATTTACTGATTAGACGGCCTGGATAGGGCTCAAAGGCGCTCAACTAAGACGCTTATTGAAACCTTGAACTTTAAAAAAATAGCACATCGTCAATAGCTTCGTCGAGGCTGATGTCTAATGAATTTGAGCGCGTTTGTTGAAAATGGCTTTGATGCAAAGGATGGTTAACAAATTTTGCTCGGCATGACAAAAACCTGGACCAAAGCTTTTTTTTGTCGTCATTATTTCGTTCATACTCAAATGGACTCTGTTAAAAACCACCTTTTATAATGGAATTTCGTATTTTTCGGTAAAAATCAAGTGTTCTGCATGAATGCACTTGCCCTGTATTCCCGTGAAGGGTCACGAAAATTTGGCAGGTGTACCATTAGTTGAAGGATGCCCAGGTTTGCATGAACATGTGTATATAGCTCTGTAGGCTTTTGTACATTAATAAAGTATTAATAAAGTCCGTTGCCAAAAAATACGACAGAACTTTCAAGTGAACGTGTTGTTTAGGTTTCAATCAGACTTGGTAATGGAGAACAAATGACATAAAATAATACAGATGAGTACTTAACAATAGCAACCGTACGTCAAGTTGAGAGTTGTTGAAGCCGAAAATTGAGAAAATTACTAGTTTATAGAATTCTACACAGGAAGTACAATAGATAGTTACTCGGATCGGATCTCTTATGAGGGGATACCAGGTCGCAGTAGTCATTCAATTTGAAATGTATACCAACGTACGTAGTATCGAACACTGATCTGAATCTGGGTTTTAAATCTGCGGAACGATTCTGGGAACAAAGTTACGGGCCCACCTTCCCCAGGTGTCACGTCACTTTGCTGCTTTTATACGAGAACTAAGCAGTGCGTAAGGTGCACCGATGTCGCAGTTGGGAGGGGACGTGACAAGGAGGTTCAATTCTTTGATGCAGGTGTTTGTTTTGTTTTTTTATAAAAAGTATCCTGAGCTTTTGCAAAACCCTTTTACACATCATATAGACTACCTACAGCCCTTTTCCAAAAGCAGCTAAGAGGTCTCTCGGATGACTCGTAAGGCTTCAGCGCTTCTGGATGAAGTGATGCCCCTCTTTGAGTAGATGTAAGCTGGTACAATTCAGCTGTCATTTTTATGCAAAAATACTAGCTAAACTAGGTGAGCACTTTATGAACAGGTAAGATAATCCAACACAAAGTGGCGTAGTGTAGCACGTAGTATTAGCTAGAAATTCCATCGTCTTTCGCAGCTAAGAAGTTTCAAATATATTGTTATTAAACGGCGCCAATAATTTCGGGACACCCTCTACAGGTTACATTTTTCTTACAGTATTCTCTTGTTAACTGAAAAATTCCTTCATTCCAGTTACATCAGAAAGAACAGACGAATACACGAATGCAGCACTCACGCATTTGAAATTAGTTCTGTAAGGATAGAGCACAAGCTTCAGTAGAGCAGAACATTGCAAAAAAGGATTTACCTAGAGAAACCAGGAGCTGTAGAGAAGAAACATAAAATTGAAATTTCGGAGTTACAGATGTAATCATGACATGTCTCGTAGGGGTGAAAATTAACCATTTTTTCAACCATTGTATTCTGTACCGATTATTCTTTTTACAGCTTTTCTCGTTTTTAGATGACGGCTTTGGGAAACAGCTTCTTGGTGACGATGATTCATTACTTTGAATGAATAGTTTGTTTTATTTAGTTACATCGCTACGGTTAGCTAGGTGAGTTCACCCTTGACTCCGAGTCAGATAGAATGCTATCCAGCCAAAAAAAAAAANAAAAAAAATTGCCAGGAAAGCTGCCCTTCCAAGAAAACTCACTCTCCTAGATTCTGGTGAGTTTCACCGAATTCCCAAAAATTACGAACACTTCAAAGCCTAAAAAGAGGTTCTACAACAAAGAAGACAGATTGCATGATGTATAAGATGGGTTTAGATAGTCAACCCTGATATATTGCATACACATAGGAAGCGCATCTCAAAAGCGGGATTGTTTAACGTCAAAAACCAAACCCTTCGTCCTTGCACTCAGGATCAAATTGTCTCCGAGCAAATCACACTATCGAAGCTATCTTGTCAGTCGGAGCACGATATGTTACTCAGAAGGACACATTCAAAGTGATCCTTGAGAGTAAAAAAATATGACATTTTGTTTTAAGAAAACACCATCTAAGAAAACTTAGATTGGTTACTGATCAACTTCAACGCATAATGCGTTAGAGAGAGCAATCTTATTACATAACTGTTTTTTTCGAATATCACTGGAGGCTTTAGGTCCATCGTCCGTTGAGATGAAATTCCCATCATAGTATGAATACAGCTTTCAGTGGTTGAATGCCAATCCTTCCGGTACATTGTAGACCGCCACCTAATGAAGGAAGATAATGATTTCAATTAAAAAAAGCTCCTAGAATATGAGAATATGTATGGTTATTAACTCTAGCCGGAAAATAGTTGTTTGACTGTTCCGTTCCCGGACGATTTCTTGACATGACAGCATAATTTAGCCCAGCCATAGACCTTCCATTATTTTTACGATACTCAAGGTTCTGGAGCTTAGCCTTGTTGTCATGTATACGACACTTCTTTTCCCAGAAGCTCAACCATCATCGGTTACAGCAAATTCTTCTTTCCCTCTTATTCAGAGGTGCATGAGTTCGAACCTATACAGCAATCAAAGCGTCAGTCCTCTGTTACTTCAAGATTGATGATTTTTGAGCCTTTCAAAGTTGACTCATCCGAAAACTTTGGTTCTACTCTTTCACGCCTGGTTTCATGAACATTTTTCAAGATAATTCGATTCATGCCTTATTTGTCGGACGGGTTATTTACCAAGTTAGTTGAAGCTTTCTATTTACGCAATGGGCGTGCATAATGAAGAACCATACTTTGTCAATTGACGAAGATCGCTGTTTTCTGTAATGCAGTGGCTCAGAAGTGTCCGCTTTTCCTATACGTCTCATGTTTTTGGTTTTTTGATAAATAGTAATGGGGCGCTCATAGATACTCGCATACAATTCAGGAAGTGGCATTAGAAGGGAGAATAGTCTGAGCAGAATAATTCATCGTTTCCAGCTGTTTTTGGAGAATATATATTCGCTGGACACAGTCAACATTTATTTACTCACTTATCCAATGTGAATCAAGAGATGCCGCTGAAAACCATTTAACCAAATGTCGAAAAATATGTTTTCGAAGATTTCCCGAAGGCCTCATTAACTAATTTGTTGTCGTTGCATACTTGTCTCAAACAGAATTGCCAGGTCAGCGGTACAGTCGCAAACAATTCGATTCCCATAAACAATTTTCTTTGATTTGTTTGCATAGGAAAGGACTTCATAAGAAATGACCCAAGGTTTTCAATCATCTCTCGTTTCTCTTACAAGGCGGGTGTCGTCCGTTCCCTTCGACTTATGGGTCAGATAGCGTGGCGCGTACATCGGTCCCGTCGGGAAGGTATAGTACGATGAAGAGAACGAGAGGCCGCCAAGTGCCATGCTCAGCCACCGACACTGGCTGCTCATGCAATTGTACGATGATTTCATCATTCGCTTTTTGTCTCCGTCTCCTCCTACGCACTCGACGTAAACACCATCGGCCAACTCCAGAGGATTCCGCAGCACCACTATATTGTCATCTACCGTTTTTGCAGCTGCTGCCAGGTCTTGCGCAAGGAAGATCTGGTGTAACGGTTAGCGGCCATGATTGAACCGAGGAGCAGCAGTA